GTGGTAGCTAATATTATTTCCTGTTATGACCTGAGCTAGTGGGAGAATAAATATTAAATAAGAGGGGTCCTAGGATTGAACCTTGGGGTACCCCACATGTGACCTTTGACCTCTTTGATGAGAAGTTTCCAATTGAAACAAAGAAATCCCTGTTCTTTATGTAAGATTCAAACCAGTCGAGCACCGAACCAGAGAGTCCAACCCAACTTTCAAGTCGATTCAATAATATGTCATGGTCGACAGTGTCAAAAGCTGCACTGAGGTCCAACAGAACCAGCACCGTGGTTCTGCTACAGTCCGTATTTATATGAATATCATTGAATACTTTTACGAGGGCAGTCTCCGTGCTGTGGTGAGCACGAAAACCAGACTGGAAAGTGTCAAAGCAGTTGGTCATCATGAGGAAACTATTTAATTGTTTACACAGTTTTTTCAATAACTTTGCTGATGAATGGGAGGTCAGAGGTCAGAGGTCGGCCTGTAATTCTGCAATAGTGATTTGCCCAGGTTGTTCTTTTTTAACAGTGGTTTGATAACTGCTGTTTTCAAAGCCTGGGGGAAAACACCTGATGTAAGCGATGAGTTTACGATTTGGATCAGATCAGTAGCAATAACAGGCAGGACTTTCTTAAAGAAATGTGTGGGAAGGACATCCAGACAGCAGGAGCTTGAACTTAATTGACTTATCATTTCTTCTAGGGTTTTATAATTAAGTAGTTGAAAATGGGTCATTTTTTCTGTATTTGTTTTGTTTTGGTACAGCAGTGGTTCTGGCTTTAGAGTTGATGTGCAGATTAATCCTCTGATTTTTTGGATTTTCTCTGAAAAGAAATCAGAAAACTTATTACAGGCAACATTAGATTGGAATTCAGGTGGAAACGTCACAGGAGGGTTTGTGAGCCTGTCAACTGTTGCAAATAAAGTTCGAGCATTATTGATGTTTTTGATTATGACATCTGCAAAGAAAGCCTCCCTTCCATGTTTTAGTGTTAAGTGATAGTTACGTAGTTTTTCTTTGTAGATGTCGTGATGAACTTGAAGTTGAGTTTTACGCCATTGTCGTTCTGCTCTGAGACAGAGTTGTCTTGCAGACCGAACTATTTGTGCATTTCTCCATGGAGATTTCTTTCTACCAGACACAACCTTTACTTTAATTGGGGCAAAAGAATCAATGATATATGAAACTTTAGACTGAAAATCATCTACCAACTGAGCTACATCATTACAGCTTAAGGGTGAGGAGGAAGAGTAGATTTGATTAAATGTTTCTGATGTGTTTTCTGTGAAAGAACGTTTTGTGACAGTAGCTGTTTGTCCAAGTGGGTCAAAGAATAAAGAACTTTCAAATAACAGCAAAGTGACCCGACAGGGCGACATCAGTTACAGAGACATTGGAAATATTCACACCCTTACTGATAACCAGGTCCAGTGTGTGTCTTTGAGTGTGTGTTGCTTGTTTAACATGTTGTGTTAAACCAAACTTTTCTAAAATATTAAAAGCTTTTTTGCCCCTCTGTCTTGGGGTTTGTCCACATGAATGTTGAAATCACCAACAATTATTAAACAATCATAATCAATGCATATGAGAGATAGAAGATCATTCAAGTCAGTAAAGAAATTTTCCACGTATGTTGGAGTTTTGTATAAAGTTAGTCTCAGAGTTCGTTTGTAGCCTTTAACCTGAATTCCAAGATACTCAAAAGATGTGAAATGACCGAAAGAGATTTTACTACAGTTTATGGTATTTTTAAATATAGAAGCCACGCCTCCTCCTTTTTTATGTTTTCTATTCTCACTTAAAAAATTGTAGTGCAAACAGAAGTTCGTTTGCCTTCTCCATTGTTCCCCCAACGACTCTGGTCTTTGTGTTGAGGCCAGTGATGGTCCTCACACCTTTCCAGACCTCCCTCATGTTGTTCTCTCTCAGCTTCTGCTCCACCTTTCTCCTGTAGCTGTCTTTTGCTTCCCTCACACACTGCTTCACCTCCTGCTGTGCTGCCTTCATGGCCTCCCTGTCTCCTCTCCTGAAGGCAACCTTCTTCTTGTTGAGGACAGTTTTGACTTCCCGCATTACCCAAGGCTTGTTATTAGGTCCTATGTCCTGGCCATGCGGGCTGAACAGTGCATCCCAGTCTGTGGTGTTATAACAGTCTCTCAGAGCACTCTCCATCTCAGGGGACCACCTCCTGATGGAGCGAGCTGTTGTAGGCTGCTTTTGGACCAGGGGGGTGTACAGTGGCTGTAGGTGAACGAGGTTGTGATCTGACTTTCCTAGTGGGGGGAGGGGTGTTGCTCTGTATGCATCCCTCACATTGGCATAAAGGAGGTCGATTGTCCTGTTATTCCTGGTGGGGCAGTCAACAGCTTGGTGGAAAGTGGCCAAAGTAGAGTCCAAGGTCACATGGTTGAAGTCCCCAGAGATTATAATAAAAGCGTCAGGATGTTGTGTCTGTAGCGTTGCTGTGACAGAGTGGATTTTTTCACAGGCAGTGGTAGCGTCCGCTCTCGGTGGGATGTAAACGCAGATGGAGATCACTGACATGTCCTGGGTTACACCATCGATTATTCACATACATGATGAGTCCCCCACCTTATGTATAAAAGTATACATAAGTTACCAGTCTGGCATGACTGGTAAAGGAAGAGTGATATACCTGACCCTGCCATCTTTTAGTTTTCCAATGTATTTTTGGCTCAATCAAATGAGATTCTTGTAAAAAAAAATTATTTTAGAGTTAAAATATTTTAGTCGAGTTAATACTTGTTTTAAGTTAGTTAGTTTTCATATTCCTCTGACATTCCAGCTTGTAATTTTGATATTCAAAATATTTCCTTTGGTTGTCTTTTCCATATCAGATTAATTTACTTTAATTTAAACTAAAATAAAGTAAACAAAGATAGTACTAAAAATGCACACATTCAACCATACAAGACACAGAACTAATCATGAACAATCCCCAAAAGAACTTTTGCAATTCTTTATCTGAAATGCCTCCCCCTCCCCTTGAACCCAGTTTCTGGAGGACGTTGATCCACATTACCGAGGAGCAACTAGTCAACATGACCTCACCAAAGCAGACAGTGTCTAGCTATAAAAACAAAATAATACCATTAGGCCTTGATAGAACGGTAACAACTTGTTTAAGGCTTAACTTTTAGCATTAATTCCAAAACAGTTCAAATTAGACTTAGAATATGCATTAAGAGCAGACTGTTATGTTTATATGGACTGCCCATTAACTTAGGACTGATCCTGCTTATGATCCGGTTGCTGATCAGTTCCATTGGTGCAGGGACAGCCACATAAAATGTCTTATCGGTTTACCTGTTTCTTAACCATGACTCACTGATCATGGTGTTTATTTTGGAAGAGTCTTGTAAAATGTTTCAGCTTCTTGAGGTGTTGAGAAGAGATGAGGAGGATTCGAAGTTTGCAGGGATTATGTTGGAATCTGCGAAAGGCACCAATGTCGACAAACAGCTTCACCCCTGGGTGGAATCCGCGTCTGATCCGCACCGTCTCTGCAGATAGATCTTGTGCAAACGTAATTTTGGCCCCGTCTTGCATGATATTTCTTTTCCTTGCCTCTCGGTACATAAATTCCTTCTCCAGGAACTTTAAGAAGCGAATCAGAACCGCTCTGCCCTGGGCCATGGCTCATGTGGAAAATGAAGTTACTGAATGCAGGGCTGGACAGTGAGACGGTACATAGAGTTATCAGTGAGATGCTAAGGTATTTATTAGATATGAAAAGCATAATTTTTAATTATATTTGTAGGGCAAAGTGTTGCACTGATGTAGAGAGTTATCCAAGAAGAACAAAACTTATTTTTTAGATTTTATTTACTGTACTGAGTTTAAAACTGCTGACTGCTGAGTCTTATTTTACTGGCTGTTTTTTACTTTAGAAAGAGGCAGAACCAGTTAAACTGCCAGTCAACTTTTATCAATGCATTTTTGACCAACAATCAAATGTATTTTGACCAATAAAATATATCAGAATCTGGTAGCTTGTGTGTACTGGCAGAGTATTTGTCTTGCTAATTGTGAGGCAAATGATAAAGTGGGTGTTGATCCTGGAAGTCATTTTCCCTGATGAAAGACTGAAGCCATTTTGTTCAAAACAAAATGGAAGATGTTTTTGGGGAAATACGCCAAAAACGCACATACAGGCCTGTCACAGTAATCAATAAATCAATGAATTAATGATAAATTCAAACAAATTCAATAATTTCATGTGGCATAATTTTTTTTTTCCTTTTTCTTCCTCTCTTTCTACAAAAAACTGGATGATAAAAGCTTTCAGATTGGTGCTTTGGTCTCAACTAGCCCTTTTTTTGGACTGGGGAGTCAAACCGGTTAAAAAACTGGTTCAATTCATTTGCCCATTTGAGATCTTAGCTTTCCTCTTCAGTCCTGGCATTGTTATGTTTTTTGTTTTCCTTCCAGCTTTGTAGCACATAGCTCTGTCTTCACACAATTTATGCTTCATATGAGTCAGAACTCATATGCTTTTGAGTTCTGATTGATCACCACAATTAAAGGCTCTCTTTTTGTTATTAAGTAGAGTTTTCAATCCTCTTGTAACTCATGGTTTGTTCTTGGGTAGCATTTGACCTTTTTCTTGGGGACACAATTGTCCACATGGAAAGCAATGTAGTCAGAGATGCACACAGCTGAACTGTAGATGTTTTCGTGTAGTTTCGTGTTCTTTAGAGGTAGTTGTAGACATGCCTTTATGTAAGGAACCTCTCAATCAGGATGACATAATGAACCCAAAATGTCTCAGGGGCACCAGCCCCACTAAGAACTTAATTTAGATAGTTGCAAATCAGGTATGTGAGCAACGACAACGTAAAAACTTCTTGAAGAACATTTTTTCTAAAAATACATCAACATGGTGAGGTCTTGCCTAAAGGAACTGTAGCCTAGTTTGTAATGTTTCTTACTTATGACCTCGTTAAGAATGTACTTTAACTTAAACCTTTCTTTATACTAGGCGCCTGTGGAGTTGACATGACTTGCATTGGAAAATCACTGCAAGGTATGTCCTACCTGACTAAATTAAGGTATGATTTAAACTTTAAATCTTAGAATTGATATTTATCTAAAACTGGCTATCCTATTTTTGTTACTCAGACATGGTAAAGGGTGCTGACTATCTTGCAAGTTCCTCTTCTCTTGTCAGTTCCGAAAACCCATATGCCACAATAAAGGACCCCCCCTCGCCAACATCCAAAAACACTGAAAGTAGCTATATGGAAATGAAATCACCCACCAGGAGAGATTCAGCATATGCAGAAATTAGTGACGCCAGTCCGACTAATAGCCAGAAGGTTGATAAAACGGGTAAGGCTTTTAAAGCTAGATTTTTATTTTCTTTTTTTGTAATTGTAATGGGTTTGATTATAAACATGTGAAAACACAAAATTATTCAGATTTTTCATGTTAGGCTCCAATAGAAATATAAATAAATTCCCTATGAAAAGAAGTGACCACTTTTGCTTTTAAAATCAATCATGATAAAGAAAAATGGGCTTTTTTGACAAAAATAAATAAATAACAAAACAGTGGAAAAAGTGATAACTGATTTCTAAAACAAAAAGAAGAAATAAAAATTTCAATCTAGTTTGGTGGATGGGGATTACAATGTGGGGTATTTCTTCAGAAGCTGGGCTTGGCGCTTTGTTCAGCAGTAGGCAACTTCAGACCTCAACGGTTGGTGTCCTGCAACTTTTGAATGTATCTCCACTTCAACACACCTTAATCTAATAATGAAGTCATTAAAAGGACTCTGGAGAACATGACTGCATTTAGGAGGTAATTCAGCTATTTCATTGAAGTGTGTTGGACTTGAGAGACATTTAAGAGCTGCAGAACACTGGCCCTTAAAGATTGGGATTGTCTACCCAGTCTTTCAGGGTAGACTACCCTCAAAGTAGTCTATAGAGACTACTCAGAGTAGTCTATAGAGACTACTCAAAGTAGTCTCCAGAGACTACTTTGAGGGTAGTCTACATTCAAAGTCTAGACTACCCTCTCGACTTTGCGCTCCAAATGAAAGGAACTCTGAATGCTTCAGTATACCAAGACATTTTGGACAATTCCATAGTCCACACTTTGTGGGGACAGTTTGCAGCTGGCCCTTTTCTCTTCCAACATGACTGTGCTTCAGTGCACAAAGCAAAGTCCTTAAAGACATAGATGGCACAGTCTGGTGAGGATAAACTTGACTGGCCTGCACACAGTCCTGACTTCAACCCCATAGAACACCTTTAGGATCAATTAGAGCAGAGACTGAGAGCCAGGCCTTCTTGTCCAACATCAGTATGTGACCTGACATATGCGCTCCTGGAAGAATTGTCAAAAATCCCCATAAACACTCCTAAACCCTAAACCTTTTGGACAAGCTTCTCAGAAGATTTAAAGCTGCTTTCACTGAAAAGGCAGGAGGGACGTCAAATTGATCCCTGTGGGTTATGGCTGGGATGTCACTTAAGCTCATATGTGAGTAGAGGCAAGTGAGCAAATATTTTTAGCAAGATAGTGTATGTCAGCTGCTGGAAGTTGTAACTTCTTCAGTGTAGTCATAGTCCTTCTCGCTCAGAAGCTGAGAGAGTTCACTCAGTTTGTCAAGAACGGTTTTTCTTTTTGTGTCCATCCCTTCTCAAAAATATTTTTCTGAGTTGCTTGGCACGTTTGTTCCCATACTGTAATGCTATCCAGGAATAATGATCAGTGAATAGATCTTCTAGACATGTGGCTTTATATCACAATCCCTTGAGACACACTTAGTCTCACTAATGATCATCATTGTGAGACAACTAGCACCATTTGGCTGGACCTAACATTAAAAGATTTTTAAAAAAGATTCTTAGTCAAAAAAGCAAAATTTTGTTGATCAAGATTGATTTATAAAAGAGTAAAACATCCAAAGGGGAAATATATGTAAGGGCTACATAACTATCCTTTTATGTATTTTCAGGTACATTGTCAGGATTTCGCATCAGTCAATGCTAATAATTATTGATTAGTTTTTTGTTTTAAATATTTGACAAATTGATGACTGGCTTGGGCTGTTCTAATTTCTTTTCTATTAAAAGCTCTAAGCTCTATTAAATTAACTCTTATCTATGTTAAAATTTTTATATTTTTGGGAGCTTTCTAGCTGTCCATCCTTCAATACACACCATGCTGCGATTCCCTCGTCTAATGTTTAAATTCTGTGTCAAATTTAGGCGGCATATATTGATTGTCTTATGAAATTTCAATAGGTTAGCGTCCTTCCAGATCTTATATGTGCGCCATTGTTTGAGTGTGAAACCTGAAATAGGGTCTATTTGGTTTGGTTGCATTGATACTGTTCAGCATTAAGAACCAAATTGAGGTTATCAGATTTTATTAAGTCAAAAGTAATTAAACATTTTATGTTTACAAATTACAAGATTCAAGCAAACTTATTTTTGATTTCAGAGATGTATACCAAAACCATCCAACCCACTGGAGTAAATGACACCCATCTGCTGTTTGGGAAGGAGCCAATTGACCAGGCAAAAAACAACCACATCTGTGATTATGACACCCTGCCACCCACAGAAAGCTTTTTGTCAGAGACCAATGAGGTGGATTATAAGTAAAGGCAAAGAGACTCAGAACCAAGACCAGCTCTCAAGTCCTGTCTTTGGTTCCTGCACTGGATGATCTTTCTTAAATATTCCTGGAGTATGTATTATTATTGTTGTTTTCATTATTAGTTTTTATTCATATCAATATGTCTGATATTATTCCTTTCTATCATGTGAATCTGTGATAGAGTCCTTCTATTTATTAGTACCCTTTGTGTAAAGGAATTGTGATGTAAATCTTTCCTTTTCATTGAAAAGGGAAGATTTTTACTTTTTCAGTTATTCTTATGTATAAATGTTACTTTTAATCTTGTGTGTGCTTTGCTTTTTTATAGAGTGTTAAATATTTACCCACAAACTTAGAAAATTTGGATTTTAGGAAAAATTTATGGAAAATAAAAGGTTCATGTCACAATGAAACACGTATGGCGACGTTCATACTGCGGCCTGAAGCGACCCAGATCCGATATTTTTTTTTTTGCCTTCATGTGACCTGTATCTAATCTTTTCATGACCATCCCAATAACGCAAATCAGATTTTTACAAATGCAATTAGGATATGTGGTCATGTATAAAAGAGTGCAGAGCTTTCACACTAAAAACTGGCGTACAGACAAAATGGCACTCAAAAAAGGGGTTTTTAGGAATCATACAATCACCTCACAAAAAATAAAAATAAATCGTAAAGAAAAAAATTCAAATAAAAAAATGAAAATAAGTGGAAATTCTTGTTTGAACAGCAGTGTTCAGCTAGGATAATAGGAAAACAGCGTGCCACAAAGACCTTTGTCTCAGACAAACAGTGTGGGGAATGTGGGAGTTAAATCTTAACAGATGAATCGTGTATAAGTTGCACATTTTTAGAATAGAGATGCTTCGTATTTATAAAGACCCATTCAGAAAGATGAAAGCTGGCATGGATCGACTGAAGAATCACTGTGTGTTGGCACAAGGTTCATTCACTGTATTCACTCGCATGTTTGAAGAGGAAAAATAAAAACTTCCACAGCGCTCCGAAATAAGGATCCAAACAAAAATGTATTCCACAGTTTTGCATGTTATTCTTTACAAGAGCAGTTGAATCTTAGCTAACCTCCACAAACAACTACGGTTGAAAAACCATGTGGCTCTGCAGATATAACTTGCAGCGCTTTTCCTTTCTCTCTCGTTAAAGCTCCAGGTGCACACCTCATTTGCATAAATTGCAAAATGGACACTTAAGCTATAAACATACAACTTAAAATAAAACACTCATTGACAACAAACATTACAAAATTAGCTACATGCAGTACTAATAATTTTATCTAATCCTCAACAAATGTTGAGGATTAGATAAATGTTGAGGATGTTTTAACAGTAACTGAATATTACTTTACATTTACTTGGCCTCCACAGACTGGATAACCTGCCTGCAGATCTCTAAGAACCATCATCATTTCCCAGCAAAATGTTAATCAAATGCTCCATCTGAATCCTTCTATTTGTGATGTTCTTCATTAGAGCCAAACGTTTCACAATTACGCGGCTTGCATAATTATGAAATTATGCGAGCTGTAAGTTGTAAGTTGGGTGATTGTCTACACCAGGGGTGCTCAAAACGTCGTATACTCCCAGAAACAGCTGCTGGCCTCAGGTTTGCAACCAGCTTCTGACTGAGAAACCAGTGACCTGCTCTCAGTGTCAGAATCTCACTGAGGAAGAAACTGCATTAGGTTTTCTATCACTTTATCATTTCTGATGTAACTGATGTATATTTGCATAGAAAATGAGTCAATAGGGTTTCATTAATAATTTGTATGTCTTCATGTCATGGGTAGATCTCAGCCGGCTGGTGAGAGAAAAAGTAGATCTTGGTCTCAAAAAGTTTGAGCACCCCTGGTCTACACACTGATCAATTTAAAAATAGTCAAACCAGTTTGGAGATGATCTGCTGATCCAACTTGCATATAATTGCTGAATTTACTATTTACATTCAAGTGAGGTTTTCACATCATTTTATTTTTATTTTATTAATTTTGTATGTTTTTTATGTTACTGTCATATATGGTTCAGTTTTATTGTTTACATTTAAACAATAAAGGATTAAAATCATAAAAAACTTCAGGTTCAGTGGTTCTTTTTCTAAATAACACTGAAAGAAGTCAGGTTTTAATGAACTTAGGTGAGTTTTGCTGCCTTCTTATTGTCCACAAAAAGTTTCCATTGCTGCCACACATTATTACAGAACGTAAAAAGTTTGCACTGCACATTGTAAGTATGCACGTGTAACACAGTCAAAAAGAGTATTATATATTTTAGATAAATGAGCCAATAGGTTCGGTTATCGGAGCATGGTGGGTTGTTTAAATGACACACAAAGACTGTTGAATTAATTTAAAGAACAACTGGCTTTAGTAACATAAACCATAAAATTGGCAAACAGTTATACAAGACACACAATTATGAAAATAAAATTACATGCAATAAAATTAATAAAATAATAGTAATACTTGGCCAAGTGCTAATTCACAGTTTTAGACATTTTGGGTTCTAAATTGTTATGGATGATGAAATTCAGTTCCAATTCAGGTTTGACTCATCATCAATCACAAGAGGAGAATTTCCTACACAGCAGTTAGTTATGTCTGAAATAAAAACTGGTAATATCCAAAATTCCAGGATGAAACAATAAGAATGAAAAATGTCACTCAGTGAGTGATGCAGGCCTACCACACAGGGAGTGCAGCAGGACTCCAAAAGGAAAAGAAGGAATCCATTTCTTTCTCTAAGTCAGCATCGAAACCCCCCCAAAAAACTGACTGATTTCAATGTGACACATTTGGGTCAACAATATGGTGGCTCTCAGTCCGGACACGTGGGACATTACAGCTGGACGGAGAAGAGATGAACTTCCAGGAAATCAATGGCCAATTAGAGTTAATGAGGTAGCTCTAATGCTTGGCAGAAAAACTGAAGTTCAGACTTTTAACTCACTTCAACTATTTCCAGCTTAGAGGTCGGATGATAAACAGTAAATCTAATTGCAAAAGTGTTTGTTTCAAGATCATATCCAGTACAATAACCGTCTCAACACAGAGACTCGCTTCACAGCTCAGCAGTCTCCTCAAGTCGGATCTCTCCCGCACACACAAGCCTTGCTGCAAACACGGGCAAGAAGGGCGGGACCTACAGCGGCAGTCTGCATTCTGAAGTTTAGTACATACAAAACCCCCCGAAAACATTACAAAGTGCAAGTACCATTAAACAAAACAAAATATAAACCGCCAATAATGCTAATCAAAACAGACAAACATCCATAAACAATCTGTGACATGCTTAATTTTGAAAATTCACTTAAAATTTAAAATTGTAGACTAGTTAAAGTGAATTATTCAGGCAGTTTGTTTTAAATATCCATTACACTTGTCCTAGATCATCCCACTTCCCCATGCTGGAGATTTTAGTTAACAGTAACAATAAATAAAGTTACCTTTAAAATTACTCACACAAGTGACATCTAGACCCAACAGTAGACCCAGACTGCAAAAAAATAAATCTGGTTGTGTGTGTTGTTTTTGTCTCCTGCAAACTTAGCTTTAATTATACTTATTTTTTCTATCTAATCATAAGAAATCATAGTCAGAGAGACATGACAGGAAGAGCAGGTTTCCTGAAAAAAGAGGAAGTAAGTTTCCAGACATAGCTGAGACCAGTCCTTATTTAAAAGCATAAAAGTTTTAAAGGATGAAATCTAAACATTTTGAGTAATGAGATAAGATTTAAAGTAAAGTACTTATATTGATATTGGTTTACTTATAACAATACTTACTCTCACTTGTGGGAAAACTTACAAGTAAAACAAGTAACTGTAACTTTGGTATCAAATAATAATAAAAGAGTAATAAGTTGTGGTTATAATAAAATTATAAATGAATGCTAAAACAAAGAACCTAAAAGGGTTATGAATGTGATTTTAACATTGAACTTGAAATGGTGTAAAACATGTAATTGCTATTAAAGATCACTGATGATGTGTTGAAGGTGGATAGTAGGTGAAAGGTTAGGGGTAAAATAGGGACTAACGGGAGAGTAGAGATGATCAATGCCTCATTTGGAGATAGATGGTTGAACAACTTAAGACATTAGCCAAGACATCAGGACAAAATGTCTGTAAGACAGTAATGGATATGAGATCATCTGTCCAAGCAGTCAGCAAATGAAACAAGCACAGCAACAGTGTTAGCCAATGAAAATGCACCAAAAGGTGGATAAACCCAATACAAGGTGAGAGCAAAAGAGGAATCTTTGGTTGGATCCTCCAGGCAGCTTCGAGCTAAGACCGAGATGGACAAAGAACTCTGCAGCTGAAGAAGAGCCGGGGCCACAGAGCCGAAGGCTGTCCTGTGCATGGGGACCAATCCATCAACCCCGCAACATGTGGCTTCAAATCGCACTTCTGCCATCAGCTGGGTTCAGACCCCAAAGACAAAGATGAAGACCAAGGAAAAGATGAAGATCAAGGCAAAGATAAAGACCAAGTCCTGAGTGACCTCACCATCGATACAGAGATGACAGCTCATCAGACCAACAGAGATCCCTGCCTTTGTCAATCAACCTCCTTCTCCTGCTGCAACATCTTCTTCATCATCGAGCCAGTTCTGGGGTAAAAAACACCATCCTTTGCCCGTCTCTCTAAAGGTTCCCTTTTTAGTTCTCAGTATCAGCGTTAGGAAAGATAGGCTAGATAATTGATTTTACTTATTTGATTATTTCTGCTACTTAATTAAGCTACTGACCCTTGCAAAATTGCTTTACTAATAAAATATTTAGCATAAAGAAACTAAAAGATGTTGTTAACATTCAATTCATGAGTTACCTCACAAGTTCTTTGATGGTAGTAAAATGGCTATGATGTTTGATTCTGGGGAAGAAAACTAGGTAATGTTTTATAGGTTGCTTTAGCCCAAATTTAAAACAACATCCTTGGGACTTGCCCGAGTCACTAAAACCAACCTGGTTCAGTAACAAGTGCAAGTTGTAAAAAAGAGAAGGAGCGACCGTTAACAGATGTGCTCTGTGAAAACTAATTGGCGGTAGACTGCTCAGTCTGGCTAATGAACAGGGGAAGAAGAGTGAGACATCTGGATGGAGGTCGTAGAAATCAGGCGAATCCTTTCTCGAAACCAGCTTAAACAGAGTTCACTTCAGTTCTGGATAGGGTAAATCCCAGCAGATTTAGGAAACTCAAATTACCCGTTAGATGAGAGCTGGTAGCACATCTCCCCTCTCAGAAGAGGAAGTAGTGACTGAGAGAGTAGAGAGTGAAGGAAAGGTGGGGGGGGGGGGGGCAACTGAGTTAACTCAGGGAATCTAATCTGTCCGTGTATCAATCAACTCTAAACCATTTCTTTGTTCTGTCACAATTATCGATTTAGTCCATTTTGATTATCATGCTCCAAACTTTGCAAGGACTGACCTCCCCACTCACCACTTCCTCATACACACAAAGCCAGCAGGCCAGTAACCTTCAATTCATACTTGATGATGTCACGCCCACATTGGCACATCCACCACCCAGGTGTCAAAGCCTCGTGCTCCTGTCATATCAATAATTACTTATTTCATTCATATGGCTCTTCATAGAGCCATATGTTTAGTCGCACAGCTTTACGCACTTGTTCATTCATAGTTGTTTTCACGTTCAAGCCTGAAGCCGCAATAAACGGAGTCAACAGGTAGTCAGACTGTAGTCTGACTACCTGATTTGAAATAGATTACTCATTACTGAAAAAAGTGGTCTGACTGGCATCACTGTCTGCCTCCCTCCTGGCCTGAAACCCTCTGTTCTCAGCGTCACTAAACGTTTAGCCGTTTTTGAGGAGAGGGACCTTAAAGTTGATCTCTGCTCTGATTGCTGCTGAACAGTGGAGCTGCTCGTGCTTCAGTGACTTCGCAGGCTACCGTTGCATTGTGGGGAATGTAGTGTTGTGTAACCGGGTTCTGCTTCACTCCACTATACCATGCTGACCCAAGTAACCTCTCAACTCTGCGTTGTGTAGTTTTGTTTTTTAATGAAGACCAGGAGTTTCTGAGTGAACAAGCAGTTTATTTCCTGAAGAAGAACAAATCAGTTTGGAATCAATGCAATCGCTCAGCTTCCCTCAGCACATTCTCGTTCAGCTTTCACAGACTGGCACTGATTACAGCAACATATAACCAGCCACACTTAGCCTCTCTATTTCCCATTGCACTGATAATATAAAGCAAGTAGGATTCTACAACCTAGCTCTGTTACATTCCCCCCTGCTGAATTCCACTTGCATCCCGAAATAAACTAATATCACAAACAAAAACAACAACCCCACTAAAAAAGAAATCAGATACACCACAGCAACTAGAAGACGAAAATAAACAAATTGAACATTTTAAACAATTTCCCAATAGCATATTCACAATCATTGAGATGTGACAAATCTGCTCAGCAAAATTCAGCCATTACAGTTGCAAATAAAATCCAGTCAGATGACTATCCTCAAAGGAATCAGTGTAAGAAGAAGTTGGCCAGACCCCTTCATCACACACACGAAGCAGAAAAATATGCCCATTACATATTTTACCATAGGTTTTGTGAAATTTTAGGCAGGATCGGTGATAAATAATGACAACACGCTGTTCTGCTAGAATAAATGTGTCCTTTTATTCCGCCACAGATTACAGCAAATTCATTCACACAACAAACAATACGTAATGCTTAGATTCTTTCAATCTGCTCCAGTTCAGAGTGTTCACGAACTGGAGAGCCGACAGTCTGGGCAGAGCTATAGCATCACGTAATTGGGTGTCCGTACGTAACCCACAGCCATAGCAAATCTCTAGTTGGTTCATGTGTCCAATCACATAATACCCCGTCACTGTCTACACATGAATTAACGTGTCCTTGTTGTAGCATACATACCACACCTTTGTCCACATCAATACATTTATGCAAGTCATAAGTGAGGTTCGTCTGTGGCTCAAACCAATCACCTTCCATATGCAGAAACCAATATCCTGTAGTATTAATGACAGGTAATACAAAATATTGGCACACTACAGTTTATTTGGTCACATTGTACTGGGTCCAATGACCTTCACACATAATACTGTTACATCTAGTTTTCTCAGGTTCTAGGTGTAACCAATGATCGATGCTGATGTTCCAAAATCTTCTCCATTCCTGAAAGTTGTCTGTAGTAACTACTCTTTGAAAACGTTCACGTTGTGCATGTGCATGCAGCATTTGCATATTACACACATACTTGCCATTTTTTGGCAAGTATGTGCTACAGGGGCCAACTGTGTCGGAGTGTTCACAGTAGTGTTAAGGAAGGTAAAGAATATGTGTCCGAACACGTGTATTCCTGTGTTGCTGGTAGCATTTCCTAGTACCAGGGTGTCATTAGTTAGGGAAAGAGATATATTAGGTCCATTTTGCCCTACACATCGTCTGTCCAGATGTGATGCATACTGACACATGGATACATAAGAAGTAACCATTAATGTGCAGACCCTGGTGGCTATAGGATGCTGATTTTGTGTAGCATTCCCTACATCTATATAAGGGACAATCACTGGTCACATTGGTTACTTAACACTTATTATTGGACCTGCATGTGAATTATTCTGTGTTCGTCCTGCCGTTGCGTTTCTCCAATGGTGCCGAACCGTCTTCACCGGTTCCATTAAATCTCCCGGGGTCTTCTTGCCGAAGCAGGATGGGACCAGAAGCATCATGACGGCAAGGGCAAGGCACTTGATGTCCCCAGAGCCGACAGACCCCCTTCTCTGGGTCCCACTCCTGCAGACGTTCTCCTCCATGATGGTTTTGTCTCCCGAACAACACAAGAACATGGAGCTGAAATGAAAATTAGCACTGCTATAAAACATAGGAGAACAATTATTAGTTTTCTCTCAGATAACACTTTGTTACAGGCACATTCACCCATTTCTCCTCCCAAGTGTATTTTACTGAAACAGTTGCATCATTACCCTGAGCAATGATTTCTGCAGCCTTAGGCGGACCATGCTCTTGTCTCACCCAGACTTTGGCTCCTGGCTTATCATTGGAGCCAAATCCTCCTTTTCCTCTCACTTCAGTGGGTGGAGGAATTTCTTGCACATCTGACATGTTACATGTTTTCAAAACCAGTTGTGCAATTTTGTCTCTTTTTGGAGTACCAAAGGGCTTTCGCTTTGGTGGCGACACACCACAACCAATTCCCCTTGATAATCACTATCAATCACACCAGCCTGAATAGTTAATCCTTTAAGTGACAACCCCGATAGAGAAAGGATGTGTCCATACATCCCCTGAGGGCATTTCAGTCCCAAACCTGTTTTCACAATTTGGATCTGATCTGGTATTAACGTCACTCCTTCCAATGTTCTTTGGTCTAACCCTGCAGAACCTGGGGTTGCCCTGATAGGAAGTTCTGCCTTATCGTCGATTTTCCACATTTTGATGGACTCATTTTCAGGTGTGTTGTGTCCAGTGATCATTCGATTTAGTGGTGTTACCCCTGCCGCAATTGGCCTGTTATTCAATTGGGCCACCGCTTGTGACAAATTTGCTTTCCAATTAGTCAAGTCATGTTGCTCACTCAGCTTTCTCAATGAATCTTCCATTCATCCGCTCAATCAGTCCTGCAGCCTGTGGATAGTGAGGGATATCCACAGATCCATCCAACATGTTTTTCAGTTGCCCAATATTTTACTATTTTCCCGGTAAAATTTGTTCCATTATCGCTCTGAATTTGGAGAGGAACACCATAAAATGCCTCAATTTGTTTTAAGCATTTCACTGTGGATTTTTGATTGGCAAATTTACATGGGTGAGTGACTAACACCCCAGAGTATGTGTCCACCGCAGTACACACATACCTACACCCCTGGGACCATGGCAGTAGTCCGATAAAATCCATTTGCCAAATTTGTGCAGGACCTTTTCCTCTGTGGATGTGTCCCTGCAAATGCTGTGGTGTTCCTCGCTTATGATGTTGACATGCTTCATACTGTTGAATAGCTGTTTTAATATCATCAACTTTCAAATCTATCCCTCTGTCTCGAGCCCACTGCTGTGTTCCTTGTATTCCCCAATGTCCTGATTTCTGATGAACCCATCTAGCAAGCCGCACACTAGATTCCCGTGCTACTTGTATGGCTCTAACAACCCCATCGATATACCAGTTATGTAGTGCCTTAGCATCAGTATTTTTAGTGCGAGCATCTACGTGAGTAACTGGCACAGGTATGGATTGAACTTTTTCCCATATTTCTTTTCCCCATACCTCCTTGTTTTGAATTTTTCAACCATTGTTTTTCCAGGTTGGCATCCAGGTAGTCAATCCATTCACCACAGACCATGAATCAGAAAAGATATGCACTCCTGCTTGCATTATGACTATATGCACAGCTTTTAATTCAGCCCATTAAATTCTTTTTTTCCTTCTCCCATCTCTTCCAAAGTCTGACCCAGGCACCTGCCTTCCATCTCCTTTTTCCTGCCTGCCACCGACCAGATCCATCTGTGAACCACGCCCACTTGCTGTTCCTCCAGTGTCAACTCATCATATCTTTGTCCTGTTTTAACTGGAGACTCAATCAACTGAGATATCTCAAAAAATTCATGCAACTGAGATCCCTTTTTCCCCTGGTTTAGCTCTTTCTGAAACATACCACTTCCATTTGATAATGTTTGCTTCCTGAGCTGTTCTTATTCTATGAGTAGTTGGTTCACTCATGACCCAAGTAAGAATAGGAATGTGTGTTCGTAGCAGGACTTCATGTCCCACAGTTTGAGCCTCAGTTTCCAGCAACAGCCAATAACAGGCTAACAGCTGTTTTTCAAAAGGTGTATATTTTATCCCTGCTGCTGGGGGCTTTTTTGACCAAAATCCCAATGGTTTTCTCACTCGCCCCTGTTTCTGCCATAGACTCCAATTGGCATAATCATTAATTGCTGAGACCTGTAATTCTACAGGTCCTGACATCATTTTTCCAATGACAGCCTGTTGAATGGCTTTTTTAGTCATTTCAAAATCTCTTTGCTGTGCTTCTCCCCAGACAAAATCCTCCTTTTTCCTGGAGGACTTTGTCTCCAGGAAAAAGGAGATAACATTCAGTTTAATTGGCAGCTGTTGTTTAAAAACTGTAAAATAAATAAATAAACAAGATCGTTTGACGCTGTTTTGTGTTATTTTAAATGCAAAGAGATTCGCTCTTTTTCCAAATTTTCTCACCTAAGCTAAACAGAAATAAAAGTCAGGCACCAAACAGTTTTCCCAACATGTAGTGTGTATGTAAAGAATTTTGAGAATTTGAAACAGTTGCTCTTTATTCCCCAAAGTTATGGGGTAAAGAGAGGAAAGAGTGGATAATTCAGCAGCCTGAAATAATCTGTTCCCCCTCCATAAAATGGGAACAAGCTAAATTACCTGCAAATCCTTAACTGTGTTTATTTCTCTTTTCCTCAACAGCAAATCATGTAAATTTGGTGGCATTTGCTCCTTAGTTGCCAAAATTATAAGGAGGAAACAGAATATTTGTTTAAAAACATTTCTTCGTTATTTGCCAGTTATAAGGGGCAACCATACATTTTAGCCACCTGAAATAATTTGTGTACCCTCCAAAACATGGGAACAAATTAATTTACCAGAAAAATGTTCTCTTCCTAGGTTATGTAGGGGGAACGAATTATTTTAGTAATCTAAAATATTTGGTTCCCCCCTCATAACTCTGGCAAACAAGAAGCAAATGCTACCAAAATCACATGATTTATTGTTGATGATGAGAGGATTTTCACCAGGGAAAAGAATTTTGCACAAGACCGGCTCTAGAAGCTGAAGCCGACCTATCACTAATGTTTTCCTTGCACCGTTTGCAAACAGGTACATTTAATCTACATTTATTCCGGACAGACACATTGAGGAAATCTCCCCACACATAGTTGCTCTTATTGTGCCAATAAAACAAACATTCTAACCCACAACAATGAAATTTCTTATAAGAGGGGGAAAAGGGAAAAAAAGAAAAAAAAAGTTGACACAGGGAAGATTTATTTTCCGTATTCTTGTCTTGCAAAAGTTGCTGCCAGATCTTCCTCTCATCTTGCTTTCTACTCTATTATTTGGTCTTTCTGTGTTCTTTCCCTCTGATTCTGATCAATTCCCCCTCAGGTGTTTCCAGAGGGAAAATTCAAAAGCAACTCTTTAAGTAACTGTTAGTATCATACCCTAGGATCTACAAGATAACAAATCTGATTTCACAAAAAAAATTGGATTTGGGTTACTTGAACTTAGCCAAAATGAGCAAATTAAGTATTAGGTTCTTCTTGAGAACCAAACAAAACAACAAATCTTTTCCTCATGGTTAATTATTTGTTCACAATCCTCAACCATTCATTTTTAATGCTGGAAAGTAAAATGTAAAAATGTACATTAATACAATGCATACATGAGTCAAATTTTTAAAATATACTTTGCTTTCAACAATTCAAATGTGCACATTAAGATGAGGGATTTAAAAACAGTTTTTGGTTTGTCTTTTTAAATAAACATACTTCAGGAAAAAGATAAATTGAAAAATTAAGGAATGCAAGTGATGTCTTTGGCACCAAGAATTTTGAATGTCCTATCTTGTGACTTAGGAAGGGCCATGGTCATCAGCCTGGACTTTGTATTATGACAGAAAAAGAAAAAAAAATCAAAGTTTGACAAAGTAGATAATTCCTGGCCTTATACTGATTCTAGCCTCAGAATCAACTTTCAAATTTTAACTTCTTGCATGTATTTTTGTGCACATACGTTTACCACTTCACAGCATATTACAAAGTATGAATTTCAGCATGCTCATGAACAATGTTGCAAAGGTTAGAGAATAATTTGATAAGACTGTGCATTTACCCCCATCTGTTAAATCTACATTGCAGAGCCGTGCAGTGGTGGCGCAGGGGTCAGCACGCCCCACGTTTGGAGGCCTCAGTCCTCGACGCGGACGTCGCGAGTTCGACTCCCGGTGACCTTAGCCGCATGACTTCCCCCCTCTCCCCGCCCTCCTTCCTATCAAGTCTACTGTCAAAAATACCAGCGCTGCAAAAACTTTTCAGAGGGAAAAAAAAAAATCTACATTGCAGAAAAACATTCAACAAATTTATGAAAACCACTTTAGGAGAAATTCAGCTTAGTATTTACATTTGAAAATGATCGTTTTGTAAGGATACTGGGCCTGTGCCTTGAAAATACACTCTGCAATACTTTCTGTACTGCCACAGGAAAGTCAGCCATTGACATGCATTAATGAGTAAAGAAATGAATAGAATGCAAGAATATAGGAACCTTTTCATAACACAATACAGAAAAACAAGACTTTGTTGAAATCTTGCAGCATTTAAAAACACACTTAGAAAATCTCAGTGGAGATGCATCTAATCCAAAAGAACAGTAGCTTTCATGGCCATTTCTGTGTCTCTACGGAATCTGTTACCAGTCAGCCTCACTCAGTCCAGGGAAGCAGCTGCTGTTTGTAAAGTCCAGCAAGAACTTTGGCTGCGCATTGGATTATATGATGTTGGCTTAATCCTGTTACAGACTTGTGCCAATCTGTTCTGCTGATGTTTGGCAGACTGCGCTCCAAGATCTCTCCCACCGTAACAACCAGGCCGGACCAACGCAGGCTGTAGTCAGGCGGTGTAAGAGAATGAGCCTGTAGAGGGTCACAAACCAAGGAGATCCATTTAAGTGACTTTCCATTAAGTACTTTAGAAGTGTACATTCAAACATAAATAATATTTTAGCCTCAGACAAAGATCTGGTCAGTCTATTATAGTCAATAACAAACAAGCAAGATTTCTGGTTCTCTCAGACCTATAAGACCTGTAAGAGGCTCCTCCGACCTCCACTCATTACCTTATGAGACCTCTTTGAACTTATCAGTATAAAGACACCTGTTCACAACCTCAGTCACACTCAAAACTCCACTATGGTGAAGACCTGTGCAATTACACCAAAAACAAATTTGTAGACCTGCACCAACCTGGGAAAACTGAATCTACAAAATTGTAGCTTGTGTGCTTGGTGTGAAGAAATCAACTGTGGGAACAATAATTAGACAAGGGAAGACATACAAGACCACTGATAATTTCCCTTGATCAGGTGCTCCACACAAGATCAAAATGATCACAAGAATGATGAGCAAAAATCCCCAAACCACACAGAGAATGACCTGCAGAAGGCTGGGACTAACGTAACAAATAAAAGGTGACTGTCAGTAACACACTACACCGGCAGGGACTCTCATCCTGCAGTGCATGATGTGTTCCCCTGCTTATGCCAATACATATCTGGACACAACTGAAGTTTGTTAGAGAGCATTTTGGTGTTCCTTCCTAAAGAGTACTGGGAGAATGTCATATGGTCAGATAAAACTGAAGGAGAACTGTTTGGTAGAAACACAACTTGTTGGTTTGGAAGAGAATGAATGCTGAGTTGCATCCAAAGAACACCATAAATGGGAGTGGAGATATCATGGTTTGGGGCCAGTTTCTCTGCAAAGAGACCAGGACGACTGATCCGTGCATATGAAAGAATGAGTGGGGCCATGTATTGAGATTTTGAGTCAAAACTTCCTTCCATCAGCAAGGACACTGAAGATGAAGCACACCGCCACGTCAATGAAGGCGTGGCTTTGTAAGAAGCATTTCAAGGTCCTGGGGTGCCCTACTCAGTCTCCAGAGCTCAACCCCAGAGAAAACCTTTGGAGGGAGTTGAAACTCTGTGTTGCCCAACGACAGCCCCAAAACGTACCAGTGAAGATTTATAGAGAATGTTTGACCTCTGACATTTCCACCAAACGACATATAAAAAAGAACTGAGATGAACTTTTGTTATTCACCAAATACTTACTTTCCTCCATAATTTGCAAATAAATTATTGTCATAAGAGCAAAAGTAGGACACAAAATTAAAAACATTATGGCTGTCATTGATCAGATTTGTGTACAATTACTTTCATACTAAAGTTACTGGTATTTTTCAATGTTCTAAATGTTAATGACTTATTAATGCAGCATTTTTTTTTGCAGAATGATTCTATCACAACATCTTGCAGCCGCCGACTGGCTTTATATTTCAGTGAAGATTCTGAAAAGCTATTGAAGGAATATGGAGTAAGAGTCAGTTGTTTTAAAAAGGATATTTTCATTTGCATTGTTAAATGAACTGTGGTGTAAATGTTTGTATTTCTCTTGCCAAGACTCAATGCCTTTGATGGAGAGTTGTTGAGTTTTTGTTTATAGACAGCAGTCGAAAGTAAGTTCAAGTCATCACATCCTATTGCTGGGACAGGGCCACTAAGAAAAATCTTCTGTCTTAGTTTTCAAGTAGTGTTCAGCAGAATTTGTAAAGTCTTCAGAATCTCCGATTGTTCTCTTGGAATCAGAAATGTCTGATTCCATATACTGTCTCATCTACGACAATAAATATTTTTGGCATATTTGTGATTTTCTTGGTGTTTGCTTTTGGGGTGAATGTGCTTCGTACTTGTGGATGATGTCTGAAGATGAGGTTTCCCTCATGGGTTCTTGCTGAAGTGCAGCAAATCTGTTTTTCAGTGGGATTCCATTCCATATCAGAGTTTGATATTGCTCGGGCTGGTTGTTTTGTCCTACGAAACAGGGCTGGGGAAATAATTTCTCCTTGTTTGTTTTTCTTCGGTGCAGCAAGTGTTGAAACATTCAAGGGTGGGCTGCAGGGCATGCTGCCTCTTCATTGTTTATAGGAAGAGTTGTTTCATTCCCACAAACATCGTTTAATGCACAGATTCATGTCCATAAAAGGTCCATAATATTTAGAGAATGGATTGTTCTCTATTTTCCTGTTGACCTGGGACTCTTAATGTGCACAATATAGATTGCGTTTGTACCTGCTGAATGTGATCCAGTGTCAGAGGAGTTGCCTGTGTGAAGACCTCCACGCAGATGCCATGACCAGGGTCTTCCAAGATTAAACAACCAATGTCAAACCACCTAAATGCAAAACACAATATTTAGTATCACATTGCAACTCTAACATCTCTTGATTCTGGAGAGCAACAGCAACAGTTTATCACAAAAATCACTGGGATGTGCGATATGGCATAAAATTCAAATCAGAATATATATATTGTGATGAGTGGTGATAATACATATTATGATATAACTAGTATAAAACTTACAATAGAAATGAAAAAAAAAATCACATACTAATTGAGTGAAATGTATCTGTACGTGTTAAAACATGTCAAGCACATTTTTGTGCATGTTTTTTGTACATAATGCTTTTTTTAAGTTGAGCTTAATCTTAATGATGACTGTGGTTTCTCTTTAAGAAAACTCAGTAACTAATGTAATGGATGACTGCGTCGAATACTGCCTTCTCTTCCCAGAGTTGTGACTTGGACATTTAGTTAGTTGCATGGCTGGTATTCAGCTTACTACATGCAGTTGTTTTAACGTGGTAAAACAAATTGTTTGTACTTCTTCTCTTCCACACACTTTGCAGTTTACATTTCTCTGCTGCTGGTCTTGCTTTTTAACCCTCCTTTGGTTTTATGAGATGGGGTCAATTAGACCCTGCAAGTCTGTGCACAGATAGCGGGGTCGCACTGAGCCCATATGTGCTTTTACAAGGTTTTCTTTTTGTGGTGTTGGGAAAGACTGTCACACCATAACCATGACATTTGAGGTGCTCCTCCTGAGCATAGTGCTACTACTGGAGTTTTACACCTCGCTTCCCCATTGGAGGTAAAACCTGAAGCCGATGTAGATAATTTATGTTTTTGCATCTGTCTTTTTAACAAATTCTTCCCTTCTTTCTGCTTCTCTGTTTTGATACCACGTAGTTATGCTTTTTGATGGTAATGCTTTCCGATGATGTATCAGGTGGTTGGCTGGTAGCCTGCAGATCTCTGTCGTAGGCCAAATTTCTATTGTTTTTACCACATATCACTTACTATTGAGCATCCCTACACTGTACTTCACATTTAAGTAAAGTATACCACGCAAGATTTTCTTAACTAGGCAAGATTATCCAAGCTGAGATAAACTTGCATGGTTTATTTCAGCAAGTTTGTGGTTCAGGTAAAAATAAATAAATAAAAAAAAACTTTCCAGTTTTGTTTGTAAAGGTTGGTTAGTTTCTTTATGTGTGTGTGTGTGTGTGTGTGTGTATGTGTGTACTTGTTTAACTATCCTATTTAGTACTATTTCTGGCATATCTGAAGACTGATAGGTCTTTATGAGGACCAAAGTTCTTAAAGGAGACCAAACACTGTACAATGGAAAACCTTATATAAGGTTAGGGAAAATTTCTGTGTTAGCCATAAATGCTACAATGAATGGAAGTCAATACAAAGCCCTAATATGGGTACAAATAGAAATGTGTGTGTTTTGGAAGTTTTGTTCATACTTCTCTGGAAAAAGTTCAGCTATGAAGTTTTCCAAAGCAACTACGGGCTGCTTCTCATGAATCACACCAGCTCGACGCAAGCCATCAATACGTTCTTGAGCCCCCTGCAGACATATACACATGCTTACCTTTTAAGAAATAATTTCAAACAAGTTAAAAGTGCAGCACACGCTTCTGTTGTGATAAAATGCTGTAGTTTTTTTTATTGCCGAAAATATAAGAAGCAGAAATTATATTGCTTCCAAATGCTTTTTCTAACACCCAGTGAACAGTTATTACATTCAAAACAATCTACAAAAATAAACTATCTTTGAAATAAAATGTTGTGTTATACTATTTTCTAAAGTGAGATACAGTAACTGAGTTATTAGCTACCTTCTGTCTTCTAATTTTGATCTTTAACGATAAAGAAAAAAAACACTAGGATATCTCTGTCTGATCCTAAGTATCGCTTAAGGCATGGCTGACTGGTCGGATTGGAATAGTCTAAATAAAAAGACCAAAAATAGACTAAGTGATTGACAGAAATTCAATATCAAGAGTGGTGAACCAGTAATCTCGAACCAAACGGAAATTGTGGTGGTGTACGTGCTGCGGTAAAATAGTCAATATGGATGGTTTAGAATTTTTGTTTTGAGTTTCTGGTGTGAGGGCCCTCTGATGGTGGGAAATAGTACTATAGATACACTTGGATTTCAAAAAGACATGTTGGACTTTACTTGCTTCATACAAAAGTATAATGTATTTTGTTGGGTGTATCAAACTTTAAAGATACAAAAAGGGTTAATGAGATGAATACAGAAGGAAATACTTGCAGTGAGGCCTGCAGAATACAAGAAATTGGCCAAAAACAAAAAAACAAATCTCTTTTCAGCAAAGCTGATCTATTAGTGTGGTCTGTAACTGTACCTTTGCTGTTGGGTGACTGGAGTTTAAATTGATCGGATAAGAAAAGCATGAGGAGGGACTTAAAAATGTAAATAACCGCCATCTAAAATGATATAATAAAGAAGCAGGGAAAGTATGATGTGTATTTTGGTCATCAAAAGCTATGAGGGCTTAACTGAACGCCGTTCCGTGCCATACAATAACCAGAATAGACCCCATAAATTTCTATGTTCCACAAAGTAATCTTGCAACACCCTAAAAAGAAAAATTTTGATTTGTCACCTTATTTTACAATGTTCTATGGCATAAACCAACGACCTTTTATCCACATGCATGGTAAAAGTGGTGATATATGGCCCATATGGCTTTCCATTGAGCCCGCCTGACTCGACACAAAATAGAAACGTGTTTTCGTCCACCTTTTCTCAACTCTGAGAGGTGTGTTTTGATGGTGGGGTGGGGCGACCCCTCTGATATTGGCAGGGAAAAAGCCAATATCAGAACATCACAAATATGAAATAAAATGAAAAGAGTTTGTTTAATTTGCTACTTCCTGTTGATTTTTTGCCATCACTTTAACATGCAGTGTTAATAATCTTTCAACCAATATTGGATGAAGTCTCCACATGCAGCACATACAGTTGGAACTTGGTGGTTTGCCCAATAGCATGGCTTACAACTTTTCTTCTTTTGGAAAACTCAGCTTCTTCTAAGAGTGTTCATCAGAAATGTTTTTTAAAAATGATAAATATCTAGAAGAAGAAACAGTGAACTGACCTTTGCTCCAGCTGCATAGCCCACTGGTTGAGGTGCAATGTTGGACTGACTTGGCTCTCCAGTTACTGTTGCCATCCCAAAAACCTCCTGGAAGGCCTCTCTGACAGCTTGCACGCCCATATCCTTATCAGAAGCCACTACAATGTCAATGTCTCCACCTGACTCTGAGGGTAGCAACACAGAAGAATGAACAAAGACCTCCAAATGTTTAGTCACCTGGTTAAAGGATGAACTGTGAGAAGCTTAACCTACTGATGTATGGTGCCATGCCAGGGTCCAGAGTAGTGATCATGGACTCTACTGAGTGTTTTGTTTTATTAAGGACGTTCTTCACCACAGGATTACCTGCTACTCCCTAAAGAGGCACACAGGGAACACACGGACAAGATTACCATGGTTGGCATTTAGCTTCAATACTGTAGTTTTACATAATATTTCTTTGTATTTTAATAAATTAGAGTGCTTGACCAAATCATGTCAAAAACAATAAATTGCTTTATCTCACAGCACCTTACTGGTTCCCTTCACAGAGTATTTATAAATTCTGTGTGAGACCATTTGTACTATATTAAAGTTATTTTTTATTATGAGACTTAGACTCTGGACCATGGGTCACCAACCTTTTTGAGACTGGGAGCTACTTCATGGGAACAGAGTAACACAGTGTTTGATACGAACAGAAATTTTCTTGGCTCAGTCTTTATAACAATACTATATACAGTACAGACCCAAAAGTTTGGACACACCTTTTCATTCAATGAGTTTCCTTTATTTTTATGACTATTGACATTGTAGATTCACACTGAAGGCATCAAACTATGAATTAAAACATGTGGAAATATGTACTAAACAAAGATACAAAAGGGTTAAAAAAAGTGTAAAACAACTGAAAATATGCCTTATATTGTAGTTTCTTCAAAGTAGCAACCTTTTGCTGTGATCACTGCTTTGCACACACTCTGCCTTTTCTTGATGAGCTTCGAGAGGTCGTCACCTGAAATGGTTTTCACTTCACAGGTGTGACCTGTCAGGTTGATAATTTGCTTTCTTGCCTTATAAATAATCCTGAAAATAAAGGAAACCCATTGAATGAGAAGGTTGTGTTCAAACGTTTGGTCTGTACTGTATATGTATAAATATGATTACATGCTGTCTGATCGTATTAATGTTAGGGACTACTGACAATAGTTATTTTATATTATAGTTACTTTACTATTAACAAAATTGTGAAGAGAAGAAAAAGATCTTTTGTGCCACAGCATCTTTTATCACATCAGTGTGAGTCTGTGGGGGTCAAAGGGCACGGCAAAGCCTTAATCTTATTGGTCAGTTTGCTTTTCTTGTGAGCTAAAAATTAATGAGTGGAGTTTGAATCTCCATTGTTCTAAGATCCTGCCTGAGCTTTTTACAGTGTGTGCGGTTCTGGCGGGTGGCCAGTTTATTTTTCTTGTGGTTTCACAAACTTAAAAGCTCACAGGCCACTCATTGGATGACACCAGCAGATGTCCTGCAGATCAGAAGGTCCGCATTAAACTATCACTGCATCTACCCTGCAGGAGCACAATCACCTCACCAACACACATCATGTGCGCGTCGCACAAAACCAGGTGTCAGACGTTCAAAGGAGGAGAAGGTGAAGCAACAACGTTTGCTTAATTTTGACTCTTTTGGAGAACGTTTTGACTAGATTAAATTGTTTAACCCAGTCTTGGCCCGGCACTCAGAAAGAGCAGCAGATGTCCGCTGACTGGACCCGCCAGCTCTCCAGTTCGGGAAACATCAAAGAAGCTCATAAACCGGCGACCTGCCAGAACCGCACACAGTAAAGCTCAACCGGCATCCAAAAGAAGAACTACGGAAAGAAGAACAAACATCTGCTCATTCATCTTTTGCTTACAGAAAAAGCTCCAAGCCGCCAAATAAACAAAAGCAAACGGACCAATAAGATTTAAGCTTTGGCGTGCCCTTTGAACCCCACAGACTCACATGTGCGCTATGTTCAAGATGTTTTGACACATAAGATTTTTTTTTATTCTCCGCAATTTTGTAGAGAATAATAAAAATGTCAGAAATTATTCTTTTCTTTTTTTACTTCATGGAAAATCTTAAGGTAGGCAGAGCGGGTTCAGCCATACAGCTGCAGGTGCTGCTGCCCTCCCATAATATCCTGCAGGCGTCTGCGCATAGTTCTGAAATTTAACCATAGAAAAGAGTTTTATGTGTAAAGCAATTTCATTCAAACATTTTTAGAATTTAGTTTCTTTAAAAACTTTAAATATTAACAAAAACAATAAATTCAATCATTTCTTTGGCAGTGCTCCCCAATTTCAATGGCTATTTTTAGAACTTGCTCCGCGGGTGACTGACAATGCCCCCTCGGGCGACCAGGGTGTTGGTGACCCCTGCTCTGGACAGTGAGGGTGACTTTTCAGAATTATGTAAGATCAACTTTTTTGAACTTGGTCTAAAGTTCAACAAAGTTTATTTCCTTATTGTTTTTCATATTAAGTTATGAAAAACATAATACGAAAACATATTATGTCATATGAAAACGTACATGAAAAAACATATAAAAACATACACGAAGTGTTGCCTTGACTCTGTTGAAAAATCCTTTTTATGTAATCAGGCCCGATGGCATGGGCAGTTATTGAGGGGCATTGCTCACAGTCAGTTGTGCACCCACCTTCAGTCCTCCCAGACTGGAAGCTTTTTTTCCCCCTTTCTACGAGAATGGGCAACTTTTAATTATTCCTATCTCCATTTGATACAGTAGGGGCTCCCCCACTTTCCGTATCTGTGCCCTCTATACCTCTTTTTCAGATGTCATACCGTGTTTTTCCGAGCCACTTTTAAATGCAACATGAGTGCTAAGATGCTTACACCAGTTTTACACCATTGCAGCAGCAACTGAGACATGCTGCTACTATGCAGAGACAAGTTTGCGTAGCTCCCAAAACAAAGTGAGTGAGCTGATTATTGCTGTAGGATGCATGTAATGCCTACGCCCCCCAAAACAACAACAAAAAAACAGTGGCTCCCCCTCCCTGCTAAACTCCTCTGGAGCCAGGGCTTTTTAAAACATCCTAAGTCTGCCAAAGAGAATCCTTTTCTGAACTGCAGTTTCCAAGCTTTGGAGCTTCAACCTTATAGAGCACCACTTCCCCACTGAGCTCCAGCAGACTGCTATTATCAAACAGCTGTTGGAACTGCACATCTGTTGAGCTTATTATAGAAGCTACTACACTGCAACACTGGTAGAAATGTTGATAAAGGATTAATAGAGGAGCAATGTTCCTGAAGACAGAGTTTCAGAAAGAGCAGAAGTTTTTAAACAGACAAAGCCAAATTTCAAGGTGTTAAATAAGTAACATTTATTTTGAGCAATATATTTAAGTAACATATTACAGAGCCCCCTAGGGGACATGGGAAATTTTTTCTTTTGTGTTCCCTCGCAAAAGGTTTTGGGTTCTCTTGCAATACTGTACTGATCAGATCATGCGGCATAATTGAATACTGTAAGCCTTTCTTACGGTGCCCGCCATATCTTCTGCTTTGATATAAGGTTATGTGAGGTTTTTCCATGAATGTTAATATCTTGTAGTGAAATATCTGAAGTTTTATCTCTTTTTCTTTGGGATGGAAAGACACCAACAACCTGTGATATAAACAGAAGCTTTAGGTAGGAAAGAAATAAAAATACATTCTACTTTGGACTGTTTCTGAGTTATTATCGCGGGGTAATCAGTCATCTGACAGTTTTAATTGTCTCTGTTGTGCTGGTTGTCTGAATGATTTAAAGGGCCGTTTTCATGTTCAGTTCCATCTCAACCTTAACAGACATAAATATCCAGTGAATAAATCGAATTTCAATCAGTTTTTGCACCAAAGACTTAATGATAATAAACACACTGCATTATTATAAAACACAGCAAACTAATGATAGTTGAGGGCCAACTGAGTTAACTCAGGGAATCTAATCTGTCCGTGTATCAATCAACTCTAAACCATTTCTTTGTTCTGTCACAATTATTGATTTAGTCCATTTTGATTATCATGCTCCAAACTTTGCAAGGACTGACCTCCCCACTCACCACTTCCTCATACACACAAAGCCAGCAGGCCAGTAACCTTCAATTCATACTTGATGATGTCACGCCCACATTGGCACATCCACCACCCAGGTGTCAAAGCCTCGTGCTCCTGTCATATCAATAATTACTTATTTCATTCATATGGCTCTTCATAGAGCTTCTGTGAAAATGTGTTTATTACCATTAACTCTTTGGTGCAAAACACTGAAAATCTATTTATTTTGTGCATGTCTAAAATGGAACGGCACTGAAAGAAGCCATTTAAACTATTCAGACCACGAACACAACAGAGACACAATTAAAACAGTCAGATGGCTATTTACCCCACGATAATAACTCAGAAATAGTCCAAATAGTTTAGATGTATTTTTATTTCTTTCCTACTTAAGGGAAGTTTCTGTTTATATCAGGTTTGTGGTGTCTTTTTATCCTAAAGAGAAAGCTCTAAAATGTCAGATATTTCACAAGGACATATTAACATACATGAAAAAACTTCACATAACCTTATATTAAAGCAGAAAGTATGGCGGCCACCTTACGAAAAGGCTTATAGTATTCAATTATGTTGATCAGTAGATTATTGCAAGGGACACAAAAACTTTTGAGAGGAGATGCAAAGGTTTTATGAGGGAACGCAAAAGAAAAAAAAATCATAATACTGCCCCTTTCAAAATTTGGCAGGGCATTCTGTTGGACAGCTTTCTTAGATAATCTTTTACTGCTCAAATAACTTGTCAACGTGTATGTTTTATTTTGTGACAAAGTTGATACTGGTAATGTTTCTATTGGTACTTTCAGGTCAAATTGTAAGGCATAAGATTTTAATTTCTGTTTCACATTCTCGAAAACAAGTCTAAACGTAATTTAAAGCCATGTGTGATTGCAGAGCTGTTACCTTTAAAAAACCCCAGATCCCTTTTGGGGAAGTGGTGTCTCCAGACACTCTAGGATCCTCATCCTCCTCTGGGAAAGTAATTGGAGATCCAGTATTTAGTCCTCCTGTCATGGCTGAATGCTTATTTATGGCGTTAGAAACAACACCTAGACAAATAAAATAGCAGACATTCAATTAAGAAAGACAACTAAAAAAAGTAAAAATATACCTATGTAAGAGATGTATCTATTTTTAGTAAGCCTTCATTTAACAAGGTAAAAACCCATTGAGTTCAATATCACAAGTATGTCTTGGCTCTTGACTAACACATATTTGGCAGTATACATAGTGGACAATCCACTATGTATACAAAAAACAAAAACAAAAAATAGAAATAGTGCAAAAAGTGCAATAGTCATAGCAGAAGCAATCAAAAAATTTCAAAAGATGTTAAAACTTAAAACATAGACACTGATGTTAGGATTTCCATTGTTTGTGGAAAGCAGTGAATGAAGTACTAACAGTTTCAGTTCAGATTGAAAGGCTTTTTAAGTAGAGAGGGCAGAAAAATGGAAAGCTTTCATATTTTCGCTATTTCCATGAGGAATATAGAGATACAACTGTCAGAGCGTCAGGCATAAAGGGTTTCAGTTCACTGACAGAAATTGCATAAATAAATAGGAACTAGGCCAAATTTTCTAAAATATTAGAGAGCTTTTTTGCCCCTCTGTCTTGCCACCAGCCCAACTAAATGAACCTTGCTAAGCTAGAAACCCATGGTTAGATGTCTTCTGCAGCTCCCCAAGAGCCAGACTGACTCTCTACTGCAGGGGTGTCAACATCCAGTCTTGAAGGGCCGGCGTCCTGCAACTTTTAGATGTGCCTCTGCTGCACCACACCTGAATAGAATAATTAGGTAATTAGCAAGGCTCTGGAGAACAAGGAGGAGGTAATTAAGCCACATCATTCCAGTGTTTTGTACCTGTGGCACATCTAAAAACTGTAAGACAGTGGCCCTTGAGGACTGGAGTTTGACACCCCTGCTCTACTGTTTTGGATTTGTTATCCCTACCTTGGAATAAAACTTATTTTGTCTCCTGGTTTTCAGAGCCAACTTTGAGCCACATCAGCGTGCACACAGAACCTACTCTGAGACTTACTTGGAGCTTTAATCTGACCTGTTCATGAGTTTTTGAGATTGTGGCTCTCATATATTGGTATTAAATAAACTCAATGATTTTCACCTATTAGGGCTTGGCAATAAATGTTTTTCCACAATACTGGAAAAATCTTATTTAAAATTCTTGAATGATAATGCCAATGAACTGTTGCTCCTACCTGGCAGTGGAGAAGCATTGGATATTGTAGGCATCAAGGGCATCTGTGGTGTTCGTCCAGCATGACCCCGTGTGATGTCGTATCCAGCACTTGTAGAAAAGCCTGTCATGGGTGGGTATACAGGAGAGGCAGCCATACCAGCTGCTGAGAGTGGACTAACACTCTCAGAAGGTAGAGGAGGAAAAGGAGAGGAATCCACAGGAGGGAAGGTAGAACTGGTAGGGAAAGGTAAGACAAGAGTTGACGAGGGGGGCAACTCGGAGAGAATGGAACATGGCATGTTCAAAGAGCTACTGAAGTGAGGAAGGGAATCAATGGATGGAGAGTTTGAAATGGAAGTTGAACAATTTGTGATCGAGCTGGTTTCAGAGAAAGAACGCTGACTTGACAGACCTGAAACAAAGAGGACAAAAATCAGATCTCTTTTCTTCTCTGCTTAATATATACAAAAGTTTTTTTGAGAGTCGGAGAAAGGCTGACAGTGCATGAAGGACAGAGAATTATGAATCCGAAGGCATCTTAGCATGTTGGTTATGTGTCATCCTTTGCAGAATACATTTTTAGCTGCAAATGATGACGATTGGACAGTTTTTTCATTAAAGTGAAGCTGCACCCGATGTGTGCTGAAAACCATGCCATCATGCGGTCAGGTCGATAGCCTGGCATGTGAAATTACTCATAACGCATGTGTCCAAGACATCAGTGTAGAGCTTAAATCAAGTCTGCTGAAGAGCTTGGTATGCATAAATATTTAACGTAAAAGACTGCTAATAACCAATAGTGCTACACACTGCAAACACTCTTGTCATTGTTTGATAAGCTTTAAATTGAGAAAAATTTTATCATTTGATTAGATTTTTTTATTGAAGTCTTTAAAATATCAAACTTATGAAATAATTAAGAAAATAATTTTCTTAAAATTTTTATTGTTAATTTCTTTTCCCAAAAGAGCAATATATTGGTGTTCTTTACAATTCAATTTTACTGATCATAATATATTTTTATGTACATATTTATGGCAAAATAGAGTTTCTTTCAGCATTTAACCCTCCAAACATTCATTGAACATAAATAAAGGGTTTCCCCAGTATATTATAAGCCTGGTAGCCTGATAATACTAGTTTAATTGGCCAATCTTAAAAGCCATCAGTCATAACTGTCATTTACTGTGATATATTTGTGAACAAACAGAGCTCAAACAGATTGAACTCACAGCATCAGATTGTAAGAGCGCAAAAAAAAAAAGAAAAAAAGAAACACTCTTCATAGTTACATTGCTTTGTTACCACGGCAATTTTGTTACTTGCCAACTTCTTAGAATATTACATCTATATGTTAATCAATTTAAAATCTTTTAATTTATTTCTGCTCAAACCGGACAGATAACCATTCATCCATTATCTTACACTCTTATCCCTAGAGGGGTTGCAAGGGATGTCGGTGCCCATCTTCAATGGTCAACGGGCGAAAGGCGAGGTCACCCTGGACAGGTCATCAGTTTGTCACAGGGCAACACAGAGACATGCAGGACAAACAATGACTTGACCTGACTGTCACGTTTTTGGACGGTGAGAGGAAGTCTGAGTACCCGGAGAGAACATACCGCTACCCTCATCCTGGCTTGTTCTTCTTATCTTTTCCCTTTTTGCTAGTTATGGGAGATTAGGGCCACAACAATAAGTGCATATTCAAGTAAACAAAAAGGAAACAAGAGATGACTAAAACAAAACAGGCACCTGATGGAACACGGTGTGGTGGGGGCTTACCTTAAAAGTCCAATCAGTTTCCACTCCAGCTGATATCGGTGGTTAGAGAAAGGCGAGCCCTCGTGATCCATTGTCCAGCAGACGCTCCGTTTAATAATTTATTTGGGTTTTTTTTGTCTTTAAATGTGGAGTTTTTCTCTTTTTCTAAAAACGCACCTGTCGTGATTCTGCTGGTGGTTGGTCTTGGCAGGCGTGTAACTCCCTGGTGCTACAATTCTTTAGCGTCCAGCCGGTTTTTCCCCAAAAAACAAATCAAAACCAAAAGAAAAACTTCTTCCTGGCCAAAACTTCTGACGCTCCCCTCTGGGTGGATCCGTGCCGAGGTGAAGGTTCCCTTTTTCGTCCAGAGCCTTCCCATACCGTACATTCAATTAATTTCTTTCAAAACTCTGCTGCAACAGCAGCTTCATACACGCCACCATCACTAAATCACCCCAAGGTGTGCCACCAGCCCAGCTAAAACCACTTGGGCTGACAGTGCCCCGCCCCCCCACCAGTGAACCGTCAAAGGTGCCAAAAAACAAATAAACAATCCAAAGATGGAGAGAAAAATAAAAAAAGGTGAGCATGTAACAATATTCTAATTACATACAGTATTACAAAAAAAATCTGTCTGAAATAAATTTAAGTATATAAATAATATAAACAGCTATTATTATGTTTCATTTTTGAGTATATCGTACTTCTAAATTAAATTGAGTTTAAATTTCTACAAAAAATATACAACCATTATCTCCATTTATGTAGCTCCATAATTTTGAAATCATAGTAAGTGTAAATCAGTAATAAAATCATTGAGGATGGGTGTGTGACTAGTTGATTTTTTGTGAAATCAACTATTTCTTTTGTATAGTTATCATGCATGGTTTGCATCACACCAGTCCACCAGATGTTTCACGTCCTCTCTGTAGGCCGGTTTGTTGTTGTCCTTGATGAGACCCATCACTGTTGTATCGTCCGCATACTTAATGACGTGGTTCGTCATTTTTTACATCGCATGAGAAGAGCAAACCTCCCATCTCCCATCCTCACCACTTTCTACAGAGAAACAACAGAGTATACTGACCAACAGTATCTCTGTCTGGTTTGGATCATGCAAAACCTCTGACTGCCAATGTGTGGAGAGAGTGGTGAGGACAGCTAAGATAATCATTGGGACTGAGCTTCCTTCCATCCTTGACACAACTCATAGTCGCCGCTTGTCTAGAGCTTGGTCGATTTTAAAAGACTCCTTCCACCCAGGGCCGTGCAGAGACCTTTGGAGGGGTGGGGACTCAAAGTTAAAAAAGGGCTCATTGAACAAGATTTTAAAACACCATGCAATAACCCATATTAATCAAGAATCTAATTGGATCATACCATATTGTTGCCTTCATGTAGGGAAATGCTAAGCATATGACAACATATATAGTATATTTTCCCCAACAGATATAAAGTTTCTGTTTTTGCTGCTGACAAAGCTGGAGGGCTGAGTTGATCTAAGACTGTAGCTGTTAAACAGGCCAGAGGAGAGAAGGTCAAAGGTTTTAAAGTTATGAAATAAGCTAATATTCTACCATTTTACTAATTAAGCCCAAATTTATTTATCCTCTGCAACAACTTGGCTGCAGACTGATTTATAGATCAAAAAGCTCAAAGAGATTAACTCCACATACTTTTTTGATGTTATCACCTCTGAGATCTAGAATTGTAGGATTGGAATATTAAGGCAAAGAAAACTCAGTAGCTCCTCGTAGGGGCCATCCAGGGGCCCCTAGAAATGGTTTACAGTGAGCCCTCGCTATAACACTGTTCACCTTTCACGGTCTCGCTGCTTCGCGAATTTTTTGTGCAATTTTTTTTTCCCCACAGTGCGTTGTATTCTGCGTCCGGATTGGCTAAACCAGGGGTGGGCACTCGAGGGCCGATGTCCTGCAACTCTTGGATGTCTCCCTGGTCCAACACACCTGAATCCAATAGCTGAATCACCTCCTAAATGCAGTCAAGTTCTCCACAGTCCTGCTAATGACCTCATTATTTGACTCAGGTGTGTTGAAGTAGAGATACATCTAAAAGTTGCAGGAGACCGGCCTTCAAGGACCAGGAGTGCCCACCCCTGGACTAAACAGTCTCTCCGCTTCTTCTCTACCTGTGTGTCAATAACGTTGTGGTTTAAGATGTACACATATGTAAAACGGCTTGCAAAATTTAAGTTTGCAAATTCTCTTGCAATTTCAAGTTTCTCTAAAACATAATGTCATAATGCCATAATGTCAACAAAACGTTCTGCACCGACAAAAAGGCACTTGTGGTCGGGCCCAAAAGGCAGAGGAACATTCTAACTATCACAGAAAAAGTTCAACTTCTGGACATGCTACTCAAACATACTCGATGGCGGCATGTCGGTTTATAAGAATCTTTTTGCCCAGAAGAAAAAAAGAGCGACAACAACTACCTATAACTGTTCTTCTCTTGGAAAAACACACCTGCACCGCGGGCTTTAGAAGAAAAAAACGCTGCAGAGTGGAGTCAGGATGCAGCGGCTCAATCAGAACAGCAGTGAACACACGCGAGTCACTGTTTGTCCTACTGTACTTTGTAGTTTTTTTCATAATCATTTCTCATTTTCTCCCGTTCTAATCCAATGACTTGGGTTGCGGTGGGGTGGTGCTGATCTCCGTAATTTGAAGCCTTTAGTCTGTATTGATGATTAAAATTATTTTACAGTACAGTAGTTATTTGTAAAAAATAATAAATAAATAAAAATAAAACATTTATACAGTCATTTTATTTGTTAAATAAATGCTTGGGCCTGTAAAAAGGTTTCAATGTATTATGGAGTATTTCATTGGATGATAATTGTAAAAAAAATAAAGGTTACCACTGCATGGATTTAGTCTGTCACGGATTCTTTTTGGAACGTAACCCCCCGAAAAACAAGGATTCACTGTATTTGCAACATAAACCATATATCTAAACCAGTAACATAGGTTATAGAAAATGAAAATGTTACTACATTTTATTTAATGAATCAGCTGAGAAAAAAAATTATGTGTAGGATTTAATTAGGAAGTTTGTAAAAGTTTAAAGAATCACCTTGACAGTTGGATTGTTGTGTTACCATGGCTACAATACGGCGTAATCTTTGTGTTTGAGTTGGGTTTGTTTACAAATACATCACAGCAAACAACCAATGATCAGTGATTGATTTTAAACTCGGCCAATAAACCTGGTCCTCTTCTCAGACTTCACCTTGTCTATATTTAAACATGTTAGTGATGCTGAGGTTATTAGTAGGATGGGTTTCGGGGCTTTGCGGGGGTCCTCTCTAAGGCCCCATATTACTTTGGGTCAGCCCTGCATGAACAGCTGCTGCAATGCACATCTCTGGAATCTACCTGGAATCCCCTGGTGGCCCTATGTCAGCCCGCCGATACTTTGGGGACATTTTGATTTATTTAATTATGGCATGTTTGGCTTTATACTGTGATTCTAATTATTGCTCCAGTATTTTCTCTGATGTTTATTTTGTGAACTCTAAATGCTCTGGACCGAATCTTCCTTTAACACTTGAGGTTCTGCAGTAACTTCTATTTACAGCCGTTCACCTCCAGCCCAGATGCCGTCAGCAGCGGCTTTAACCCACCTGGTAGTAACGTTAAGGAGAACCAGAGCAAACAGTCAGCAAGTGGTACTGGGTGGTATCGGGTGGTATAGTGGTGGTACCGGGGCTTTGAGCTGCGTCGCAACTCACGATGACACTCTGATATCAGGATGTCTGATATAAAGACAGACATTTTCTCTGTCTGTCGGTGGGACCGACTCAGACTGCCTGTAGTGAACTGGGCTTTTAGCCCAAAGTTAAATATGGAAGTAAAAATGTGCTATCAGGATTGGAATAAAAAATGCCTCTGAAATTTGAATGTTGTATATTAGTGTTTACTTTTTCAGTGTTAAAATAAATTCAGAATATGTTTTTAACCTAAAAAAAATATAGTGTCATTATTTATACATGAAAAAAAATTAAATATTATTTGTACATGGTTGCAATTTTCATTTGTTAAAAAAATTCACATTCAAAGTGATCAAATTTTCAATGTATGGTACATATTTTTCAGTTTAATTTTTCAGTGTTTTCAAAATTAAACTTGCTCAAATTTGCTGTCTCAAATTCAGCATCTAAAAATTTGCTGCAAAAATGGCAAGGTTATTTCAGGTCACAGACATTAGCAATGGATTTCAAATTCTTCATTCGTCATTCTTCAGCCAATCAATGATGCAACCATCATATTGAAGAAATACCAGCATCACCAAGGCTGGCAACCATGGAGGCGAACGCTAACCCAACGATGAGTTTAATGCTTTCATATTTCTGTAGTATATTTCATTTTGTGCCTGAAGTTTGATACATTATTCTTAAAGCTTGATTTAAAACACGAGTATAGGCCGTTATTAATCTTACACCATGTAGTGCTGGCATAATACTTCTTGCTACCTATTAGCATCCCAACCCCCTCCCGCTGTCCAACATCTAATTTCCCCCGTTTTATTTCAAAAAGAAATACCACTTAAATCTTTAAAGAGAACTGATGGGTGGCGATTTTCTGGGTTGTTTGTATGCTGTCTTAGGTGAAACTGAGACAGGCAATTTTAGTAAAGTCCAAATTTTTCAGGAGATGGCAGCATCTCCTGACAGAATACAAGGCAGCCATATTGGCTTACTACAACAGCTGCTGTTGTAGTAAGCCAATATGGAGGGGAGGGGCTGTGAACACTTCCGACATTAACCACATCCCCATTCTGTTCATGAAATTATGATTTAATTAATTAATATATAAATTGAAAATTTGATCACTTTGAAATAGAAATGTGATTTTTTTAACAAATGAAAATTGCACCCATGTACAAATAATGACATTGAATATTTTTCATCTATAAATAGTGACACTAACATTAATATACAGCATTCACATTTCAGAGGCATTTTTTATTCCAATGGCACATATTTACTTCCATAGTTAAAGTCAGAAGTTTTCTCTGCAGCCAAAGCATTTCTGTGTTTAGGGACGAGGCAGATTTTTTTCCGCTATTGCGAGGACAATTATGAAACTATAAACAGAAAGAGTTTTTCTCACGTCAACATCAGACCAATGTTTTTATTCACAAACCAGTGTATAAAAAATATTGTTGCCCATAATTTGATAGTTAGAGGGTTATGTTCCGCCCCCCTCCTCCTCGCCATGGGCCTGATGTCTAAACAATGAAGAAAGACTAGTTTATTTAGATCAATTGTTATATTTAGCAAAATATTATTGCTGAGGAGCACAAGAAGACCTCCTGATCCACAGAATAAAAATAATAATAATTAAAAAATATTTTTTTTTGAGAAAAAAAAAATCAAAAAGGGCACTAGGGGCTTCAAGGATAAAAAGGGCAGGGGCTCAAGCTCCCTCCACCCCCATTCTGCATGTGCCTGCTTCCATCTTCAGCATGGTTTGTTCTCTCTGCCCTCTAGGAAAAGCTTCAGCATCTTCAAATGCAGAACAACCAACAACACAATCTGGACTAGACACCAAATGACTCTTCAACAGATTGCGGGTTTCCATGACTGGAAACACACAACAGAACACTTGAAAGAGCAAGAAAACAGCAAAGGTCATAGAAAAGTAATGCCACTGCTCTGCTCACATGTGCTCAAGATAAATAAAATTAAAAAAAAAATGCAACTAGCCTCCAACTAGCAAGAGCGGGAGGAACTGTCCCTACTGCAACAGGTGAAGGTCCAAAGTGTGCAAATATAGCTCAAGGGTGTCATGCCCTCCCCTGAATTGAATAAAAGTTTTGAATTGAATAAAAGTTTTGACCAGCTTTGGCTGTCAGAGGGTACATACTCACCCTGAGTAACTGAGCTTAGTAAGAAAATAAACCTCATAATTAGAGAGAAAAATACAATTGATAAAAATTGAAAGAAAAAGAGACGGATTAAAAATAGATAGAAATGAAGGATAAATAAATACAGCACATAGAGGATGAACAGAGAACATTGTCAAGTTTTTCAAGATGTTCAAGTACTTCTTTAATAACTACTAAATATAGTTTGTATGTAATAATGAATGTTACAGTGATTACAGTAATCAACATTCTACAGAGGGATTGCTATTTTAAAAAGAATGCAATGGTGCAATTATCTGGCCCATCAGCGATCTTTAAAAAACTTGGAAGTGCTGATTTTTGTGTGTGTATGTGTTAGTGACCACATGGTTGTCACTAAGTTGGCAACCATGGGGTGACTATCCTAAACCATGTAAATGGAAAGTTGACCTGGTGTGCGGCACAGTGATTTGTATTATTGTTAACTATACCCCCTTGAAAATGAGATGTGCATCTCATTTTTCTTTAAATAAAGTTCAAATTTTAAAATGTCAGAATTAGAGGTGATAAACACATTGGATTAGAGCAGTTCTCTCTCCATTTTTTCTTATGAAAAATACTGTTTACCAAATGAAACCTTACAGCAAATCTGGACAAATCAAGTCTTACCACTAGTGAGTGGTGGAATGCTGGCTGAGGCAGCAAGTGATAAAGGTGTTGGGCTCACAGGAGGCGTTGTCTCAATCCCACTCTCTTCCATCATCTTCTTTGCAACAAAGCTAAGTTTTATAGCAAAGAGTCCAGGTTCTGCAGCAAATGAACAAACAAAAAAAAAGTCAAATCTTTTCTTTGTAAACATATTTCTACAGGACTCTAATGTGTGAACAATTTACATGGAGCCAAATTTCCACGTTATGTCAAGCTAATGTTCCACATTGACTAAAAGTCAGAGCCCAATGGAATTAAAAGGAAGAAAGTCTGTACATTTTAAAGACAGTGATAAGGCCAGTTTTCCTGTTTAGGAAAGGCAAAAATGCAATGCACTGCATTTACTGTGAAGAGTGTTGTGCCAAGACAGGTTATCTCTGACGGAATTTGTTTCCCCTGTGGTAGGAACGTACATTGGGCAGGTAGAGTGGGTCTTGTTAACTGCACCTAAATGTAGTGTTTTATCTCTGTGAAATAGTGAAAGAGGGCAATGATGTGCTATATCTACATTGTTATATAGAAAATGGCTGTTTGTTTTCAGTTGTCCTACAAAAATACTGTTGCATGTCCCCAAAAGTTCTGTCTATAAAAATCCACCTTTCTGAGTATGTCACTGAAAACACCTGCCGACTTTACGCCTGTAAAGCCACCAGCTTTACGACAATAAACGGGACAGATCACACTACAGACAAAACTAATTAAGGCCTCATAAATCACAAACATGGTTCGAAATATTCTGCTGTTAGTTGAGAACAATTTAATTCAGATTGGAAGAGTCTAGGACCTAGACTCTAGGTCTTGTAGTTTGAAATTAGAGCAGTTCTGGTGGCATAAAAGTGGTGAAGTCCTCCTTTATTGAAGTTTCACAAATCAGAAAACGGTTTCATAAATCCCAAACATGGTTTTAAAAATTATACTATTAGAGTAGAATAATCTAGTCCGGGTTTGAAGGGTCTATGTGTTGTAGTTTTTCAACTAGAGTAGATTAAAAATGCGAAAAGTAGTGGAAAAATTAGGTGGAATCGCCCTTTAGCCAATTCCCGATTCGGAAGCTGGAATCGTAAACTAACTTCAGTTTGGTCATCTGTGGGATGGACGTTTCTTTATGCAGGGTCGTCTTATGATAAAATGACAGTAAGACAAACAGTTTCAAACTGTCAGTCAGAAACGTCCTTCTATAACCGGGGCACAAACGGTAACTGTTGTCCTCCAGCATTTCTCTCCTAAAAGTTGCGAACACGCCAGCCGACACAAACATGAGGCTGGAATTTAAACTGAGCTGCTGCGAGTGTAACAAGCTAACCCGCCAGTGCCTATGAATGACAAATACATTAGCTCATATTTAACCTTTCAGATAGTAAATTTGAGTCAATTATACAAAAGCGGTCCTTTGACAGTTTCTCTACTTACCAGTTTGCTGTTTCGGAAGTGCTCAACAAACGTGTGACCGGCCAGTTGAAAGACGTCGATCGTTTGCCACGTCTGCCATAAACTATGACTCCGACTGGAATCTTCTTCTGGGGAGTTTAATTGCAGATTACATCCAAAAAGGTGTATTACTGCCATCTAAGGGTAGCCCTGGTCCGAATACTCGCACTTCCACCCTTGTTCCGCCCTTGTGTCGTGTTGAGAGGTTTGGAGTAAAGACATGAATCGGGTTTGAAGGCTGTAGGACCCAAATTCTCCAGATCCTTCCTTCGCCCCGCCCATTTTGGGTCTTATTTCAGTCATTACGCTAAACCCGCATTCATGCGAACTTCAGCAAACTGTATTACCCATAATTCCTTGCTGCAAGATTATTTTTTGTCTTCATAGAAAAAAGTACACATTAGTGACAAAAAAGATTGATATAATAAACTCAGCATAAAAAAGAAGAAATAAAAAAAGAATAATCACAAACAAGAATAGTTGAGAATTATTTAGTCCAGGTTTGAAGACTCTAGGTCTTGTAATTTGAAATTAGAACAAATCTAATTAAATTAGTAACAAAATATTACAAATGCAAGTCTAATATCTAATCTTCAATTAAACTATTAACATATTGGTATAAAGATTGGGCTTTTGTGATGTTGCAATGTTTAAGCACTCTCTTACATAAAATTATTTCACTTTAGAAATTGAGATAATTTTCAGAAAGCAGTATTTGGGAATAGAAACTTAAAGAATTAAATTTTTAACATCATAATACAACACTTCAGCATGTATTAGAGTGTGGTTAAGTGCACCATTTGAGCGTGTTTTTGTGCATGGTTGTTATAGAGAAAACAAAAAAAATTATCACAAATCATCGTCTCTCTTGATGAAGAGAGACAAAGCCTGACTAGTCTGAACCAGAAGGAAAAAACATGATGTCAACCAGGTGAGGGCATTTTATATATGACGGCAGCGCCACAGCCAATTAGAATCAGGTGAAAATGGTGCGTTGTGGAGCAGAGAAGAAATACTGCCACATGTAGATTTGAGACTAAAACCAAATTTAAATCTTGTGTTTCATGAAAGCTTGCAGCTGAAAGGCCAAAAAAGCTTTATCTCAGTGAAAGAAGTGAAAAATGGAGAATCGTTAAATTTGCAGCTCAATTTCAGCCTTGTTTGCTGTGGATCAGCTGAGAAAAGCTGGAAAGCAGCACTTGTTGTTTTAAGATGGAATATTTTGTGTTTCATGAGAGCCTGGAGGGTGAGAGATCAAAACACCTTTATCTCAGCAAAAGAAATTAAAAATGGAACATCTGTAAATTCACACCCCTAGATGTTAGAAGTATTTAGTATATATTATCTTATATTTGCTGTGCTGTGTGAAGTTGTTTTGTTGCCCAACAGACCCCACTGTTCCTTGAGTTCACTAGTTAGCTGCAGAAGGAAGCAAACAGGAACTGAATTCTGCAATATGCACACTGTACTACGTCAGCCCGTAGCAAAAGAAGTGGAAAATGGACAATTTATGAATTTACAGCATTCCATTAAATTTTCAGGCTTATTATATTTGAAACAGCATAAAAATGCTGAGAAGCATTAATTCTGGTTGTTTGAAGCTGGGAACAAGTATAAGTCTTGATTTTCATGAAAGCTGAGGGTCAGAGACGAAAAAAGTTTCATCTCAGAGAAAGAAGTGAAATATTGACAATTTGTGAATTTTCAGCATTACATTACATTTTCAGGCTCATTTGTGAAACAGTATAGAAATGCTGAGAAGAAGTAGTTCTGGTTATTTGAAACTGGAAACAAGTCTTAATCTTTTGTTTGAAGAGAACTAATGGTGAGAGTCCAAAAAAGCTTTATCTCAGCAAAAGAAGTGAAAAATGGACAATTGGTGAATTGTCCATTTTTAAACATTTAATTTTCAGCCTTATTATGTGTGGAACAGCATCAAAGTCTAAATGTCACTATGTTCTTGCAGCAATACAAACCTGGGTTCGATTTCTGGCCGGGGGTCTTTCTGCATTGAATTTGCATGTTCTCCCTGTGCATGCCTGGGTTTTCTCCTGTTTCTCCAACTTCCTGCCAATGTGCAAAAACATGACTGTCAGGCAAATTGGTCTCTCTAAATTCTTCCTCGGGGAGATTTTGTGTGTGCATGGTAGTTTGTCCTGTCTGTCTTTGTGTTGCCCTGCAACAGACTGACGACCTGGTGTACCCTGCCTCTCACCTGAAATGTTCACTGGATGTAGGCACCCTTTCCCACCCCATTATAGACAAGGTTGTACAGAAAATGGATGGAAATATTTTACTGATTTCCTCTTGACAAGTTTGTGACATTTACCTCCAGCAGTACAGTAAAAATGGTCATCTAGTGACCATTCACACTAGATGTGTGAAACAACCTATTATTTTATTTTAAAACTTCAATTAGTTGCCACAAGCCAAAACAATACTTAATAATAATAATTAATAGAGCTTTAGCACAGAGAGATCTGGTATTTAAAAGAACTACTTTAAGTGACTTGGAGGGTTTTAACTGTAAAGGTTAAAGATTTTCAGTCTGAGGTTCCTTTAGGCAGGGAATCAGTCTGAGATTCGAATTAGGACCGCTGTATTTCATATTCTGTTTTTTTGTCAATTTTCTTGTAGTGATCCGACAGGTAATGTCCTGTTCTGCAGAACCCGGGGGCCAGACACATTCTGGATGGAGACAGGTGTAAAGATAATATTTGGTCCCTGGCCTCAGACCTCAGAAACGCAAAGTGATCCTCTGGGAAGTCAGGAGCAGGTGGCTTAAATGTAGTGAGGTCTGCTACTGAGCGCTAAGGAGAGACGTGCCGAGGCGAACCTGTTGATTCATCCCATCTGTAAATTTAAGAAACTCTGGTCTGGAAGACGTTTCTTCATTGGTATCTATTGAATCCTGTGAATGATTGGAGGAGCAGAGAGGGAGGGGGGAAGCAGTCGCTCCGTCTCTATCCTATAATTCATAAGCATTTGGGTTCCCTGAGTCAATTTCCTAAAATTGTTTTAATTGACTTTGATCAATTTGGTTGAAGATAGAGAAAATATGGAGTCAAAGGGCAGGAGAGGGGGAATATCAATAGGCTTCGTTTCCAAGAATGATTTGACAGCATTTTCTTCGGAAAGAGCGAAAGTACCCTCTGCTGGCCAAATGTGATTATGTTCAAAATGTGGTTGGTAGTATGCTTTGTAGGTAGTTATGTCTAAAAAAATCAATGGAGGTCTTAATAGTCAATTTAAAAATAAAAAATAAAAAAAAGAGCCTCACCCTCGGTTCAGTCGAGCCTAATACCTCTTTTATCTGATATTGATAAAAAGAAATTTGAATGTAAATTATAAATTATTTTTCCATCATTGTAATTGTGTCCAAATAGATATATTTCTTTTCAATTTAGAATAATATTTCGTATCACTGAGTTGTCTATACCCCTCGAATAAATATTGTTTTCTGTTAAATATTACTATAGCACTATCTTTGTCCATAGGTTTTATCATGATGTCTGTGTTTCCATTTAATTCCTGAAGAGCTTTAAATTCTTCAGAACTAAGGCTGGACTTGATATGAATTGAATGAAAGTGATTTTGGAAAAAATCTTGATCAGCAATAACAAGGGTGAGCATCTGAGGTGGAAGTTGAATCATATGGTGGGGGGGGGAGGTCGAATCTGATTTTGGAGTGAAGGGTTGAGGATCTCAAATGGATTTATCTCCATAATAGATAGCTAATTTGACTCTGATGATGTTGTTGCATGTCATATTTATATTAAAATCATAATTCTTTACTGAAACCTGCAGTCAGGATAAGTCCCTCACTATGTAAGGTAAACTGTGCATCTGAAAGTGGTAAAGTTTTGGACAGATTAATAACAATTTCTACCCCCTCCTGTTGCCACAGGCTTGTGGGGATGTTTAGTTTATATAATCACTCCAATGTTCAAGGATGCACATTGCCTTGTTTTTAGTCCAATCAACATGGTCTCATTCTGTACTGAAATCATCATCTGGTAGAGCAGGAGTGTGATTCCCCAAACCTGTGATAAAGATGTTCAGGTGCAGAAGCATGACGTGCTCTCTGTGGGGGAGACCTGAAGAAAAGTTGATGGCTGGGAAGAAGATGTGTGCCTCCGGAAACCGTTCTTGAGCTGTTTTCAATGCTCTTTTCACCTCTACCACCTGTTTTTTTTTGTTGTTGTTTTTTTTGTTTTGTGTTTTTGTCCCACTATGATTTATTGTTTAGGTTGAAGGACAACACAAGCTTTTTCACTGTGATGTCACAAAGGTGGCTTTGTCCAGCACTATTGCCTCTGGGATGCTGTCAATTTGGACATCTTTAGTTGCAAAGGGTGGCATTCTGGCCACAATCTCCCACTGTCAGCCAGTTCTGTTTGATGTGGACATTCCAGTCCTGGAGCTTCCAGGTTTTGAGATGCTTGGATGGTGTGCAAACCCACAGTTCTGGCGAGGAGGACGGTATGGAGCCCCATTCAGCCTAGAAGTTGAGGTCCAGGCAGGTTTGGACACTGGACCTCAACTTCTTTATGTTAATAGGAGTCAGTATGATGTACATTCAGGGAGTTCAAGGTTTCTCACAGTTAACTCGTGGTTCCTCAGTCTGTAGGATTCCTTTCACCTGTAAATGGCGTAGATTGGGTTGGCTCTACAGAGAGAGGGTGTAGAGCATGTGTCAAACTCGAGGCCCGTGGCCCAAAGCTGGCCCAGCATAGCTTTTTAAGTGGCCCTCGAGATTCTATACTAAACGTTAAGTGTGCTTAAATGTTATGCTTTCATTCAAATCATGCTGCATGCTCAGCCCTAACTAATGTCAGATTATAGTCCATGATCTATACAGTGAGTAACACAAAGACGCATGTACTGTCGCAAATATTTACAAATTAGTGCCACAAACACTTTGATTTTTATTGCACAAAAAAATCATCAAAAGAATCACAAAATCCTGGAGGGCCATGAAAAGATGTTTCATAATATATGTTACTTTTCAGAATTCATTGATATTTTACCAGTACATTAGGCACAACCAGCCCTTTAAGAGCATTTATGACCTTGATTTGGCCCAGAACAAAAATGAGTTTGACACCCCTGGTGTAGAGGAGAAGGAGTGGGAAGAGAATGTGAAGAATAATCTGAGGAAACAGCTTCCTCCATTCCCAGGGTTCCCCGCTGCTGGTTGGTTGCTTACTTTGTTGTTTTTCCCTCTGTGTTAAAGGTTCAGGGTCAGTCTCTTGAAGATGGCTGGGACTTCACCCTGAGTGGAAACTCTC